GCCACAAATAGAGCAAAACACCAACGCAAAGACCTGGGAGTGATATGTCGGGGGATCCCCTTAAAGGACCATTAAATTGATCAATACATCTCTAGAAAAATGAAATGATAATGAAAACCCTTCAAAACAGGGGGGCCCAACCCCTTTGGACACTCTTCGGGTCACTTTTCTACAGGCGGGAATATTGCTGCACACTAACAGCCCCTTTAAAGGGGCGGGTGAAATTGCTGACCAAAAAATGTACGGGAAAATTTCAGGTGCGCATAAAAAAGAAAAAACACCTCAATTACGGGAGCGCTGAGGTTTCAAAAACCGTTTTCCCCGGGAAAACGCAGGAAGGGAGATACATGATTTTTAAACCCCGGGAAAAAACCCTAGAGGGACTATACCGATCTTGCACACGAAAATCACTCACTACAAACAAAAGACTTGGCAGACGATGCACCACCCCCCCCTTTAAAAGCAGGGGTATAGATTTTAAAGACCTACAAAAGTGTCAGGGGCCCGAGACTTTTTAAAACGCCTCCCAGCATAAAAGGGGGTTACACAGACCCCGGCAGTCTTAAGCTGGCACTGGACAAGCACAAAGTCAGTTCCTGATCAGCCGGGCTGGGGGCTCGTACGTTGGTTTGCATGCAGCCAGCAGAAACCCTGGGATCAGGTCTGATCCCCAGGGGGCCCGGGTCACACCGGTCCGCGGGGGCGTTGACCCCCGGAACCTCTCCAGGTAAAACCCGGGTAAACGTAAAAAATTTTTAAAGAGTGTTGAGTGTGATAAGTTATCATACAGCTTATGACACCATTTTTGTCCTCAAGACAAAGCTTTGTTGGACTTGGGAAGGGGTTGGGGGGGATGGAGGAATAAATATCGACACAACTGCCCTTCACTCTTCACACCAAAAGCCCTGGGGTGAGTGGTTGGGGGGAGTAGATGGCTGGGATTGGCCCTACTAATTCCCAGGCCTACCCATTTCTCCCCCTGTTAATCATCATTAAAACCCCTATTTTGGGAAGACAGCTTCAGTGTTTAAAAACTCTTATTGCGAGCTGTGACAAGGGGAATACCTAGTCAAACACGGGAAAATAGTTTCCTTTTTGCAAAGGCCCTCACAGGCCTCTCTCCCCCTCCCCTTTCTTTTGACCTCACCTTTCGCCTCTATCAACTAGGTGTAAGGCGAATTTGCTAGTCCACTGCTACTCGTGCCTCCAAAAGCTCACAACTCATCGCTCTACCACCGGGAATAACGACGAGTGTCAGTCCTATGATTTGGGAAACCCAGGTGTCCACACACTGAAAATTCGTCTTTCCACCCAAGAACTGTGCAGAATTCTGCAAGTTGGGAGTGATAACAATCTCTCGAGTATTGCATGTGGGGTAACTCTTTGGGGGTCTGCCTCACCCCTTGCCCCTTGAGCAGCCTGCATCACCTGCCTGAGACTTTCGCCCAATTGACAGGGAAAAAAGGGCCGAATGTGCGTGCTCGTTACCTCTGCGTTCTCCGTATCCCCAACTCTCCCCTTTTAAAATCAGCCTTCGCCCTATAAATGACGTGCATGTAAGGTGTATTTTGCTGCCCCGCGGGACTCGACTCTCTGATCCGCAAGTGCGCAGATTTGTTGTAACTTTTTTGCAGAGTGGATTACGCTGACTTTAGGACATTGTGCACCATCATACCAAAGTAGCTTAAAATGAGTGAGGAATGTCGGGCCCCTCTGGGGCCCTTTGAAAATGGCACTATAAGACCCGCATGCCACTTACACCCATACGGGTTGTCTAGTGAGGTGAATGTCCCTTCCCGACTTTTATTCACCGGTACCCCTTAACTGTCGCCATTTTACATAGGGGAAAGGGGGGTTTAGCTGATCCGGCCCAAACAGCCCCCAAAGCCGCGGAAAGGGCCCAAAGGGCTACTCTTCTGAATCCCAAAAAGCCTTTGTGAACGTTCTACAGTGTTCCGGGCCGTCCTTCGGTGTTGTGAGAACTATTCTTATTAGGAAAATTTTGCCTGCATTCCAAACACGTGTCTAGTGTTTAGGCTGGGGGTTTTGGAGTTAAAACAATATACGGGGTTGGAAACTCTCGAAAACGATGGGGGCCCCATGAATGACCTTAAAAAATTGCACTGCGACCTGCAGCCCTACACCCTTTTTGCCTGTGTCTACGAGGAATACCCTTTTCCTTGCCCCTTCCCTTTCCCCTCGTTTTGGGAACTCAGCCGTTCGCCTCTTTTTTCTTGTGGCAGAGGCGGTTTTTTTCCCCAGCCCACATGGGGCTTGAGTGCCCGTGCCCCTCTGGGCCCACCTCGCTCACTTGCAGTGTCTCTGTGGCCTGCCTGCCGCCTCCCGCAAGCAGGTGTCCGGGTGTTGGGCGCGGGCTTGGTGACACAGTCAAGCAACTTGAGGGCGCACTAAAAGCTACCCAAAAAAGCTAAGGCAGCCTCAGAAATAGGTCCTGGGCCCCAGAGTCTGATACGTTCTGCAGTGCTGCGGCATACCAGTTTTTTCCTTTTGGGGCTTGAAACAATTTGACGACATTGCAGTGCTGACTTTTTGACGGGACATGTAAAGGGTTACTTATAAACAAGAAGCTTGTGGGATTGGCTTGTCCAGTGAACATTCATTTCCCTCGGGCTAAAATTTTAAATCTGCTTTCCCCCCAACAGTTAATTTGTCATTTGTAAGCCTGTTTTAAGACTTTAAAAGGCCTCAGAGTGTATTTTCAGTGTGTGACTCCTTACATTGATAAATCATGTAACACATGCTTGCTCATGTAACTAAACTAAAATACGGTTACAAATTAAGTTCTTGCCCCTAGGTCAGTTGTTTTTTTCTAATACATTTTCTCGTTCAACGAAACTTTACTGCAAAATTTTCCCAGTAATTTTTTAAAATTGCAGTTTCATCTGTGGTGGTGTGTAACTTATGCTTTGTATTTTTCTTGAACAATTTTACTGCTGCAAAATGTCATTTCATAAATTTCTTTTTTCTTGGTAATTGGGGTTTACCTTTCAACTGTTTAAAGAAAGGGGGCCCAGCCCTTTTAACACTTTTCCTTGCCATGATCTAGGGGGTCTACCCCTAGTTAAAATTGTAATAGTAAAAATTTTCAATATTAACTTTAGTTTTTCATTGTTAAAATTTTTTTTAGATATTTTATCACTGGATTGTAGTGTTTAACTTCTGATTCACCAAATTTTAATGATGCAACACGCACTGACACAAATAAACCAATTAAAACGCTGGTAACCCCAGAACCCGGGGCCTGTGTGTGCCCGAGAATTTGAGTGTGTTTATTACACCGCGGTGTACCACTCTCACCTATTTTACAATCAACGAAAGTTTTTCTAAGTGAAAAGTGTACATTTGGGTGTCTTGGTAACACTTTCATACATAGTAACGCGTTGTAAGTGAAAATTTTTAGGTACGGGTTTCACTATCAACGCTCACATTTAGCTTTCAACATGTATAACTAGTAAGGTGGAGTTACCAGGATGGATAAAGGGAATCGACCAAGTGATTTTACTCTTTGTCACTGTAACTTTACCTAGTTTTTTTTTTTTTTTTTTTTTTTTTTTTTTTTTTTTTTTTTTTTTTTTTTTTTTTTTTTTTTATAATATGTTTACAATCTAGGTTGGGGTAAAAGGGGTTGTCTTCACATTCTTGTGATGTCTGCCATATTATTTTTTAGTGAGGTCTTAGGGAGTAGCCTGAATAACTCAAGTGGAAGTTACATTGAATTTGAACCTATGTTAATGGATGTATGTCAGAATTAAAATTTTATGCTCAATTTACCTACTTGTCTCTTCTCTCTCTTTTTCTCTTTCTCTCTTTTCATCTTTGTAATTTGTGATAAGGTGTAACCTCACCTGTACCACCATTAATCTTTATATGACATATTATTAACACACTACAAGAGGCCTCGGGGTTTTT